GTGGCAGCTGCTGACAAGGTGGAGCAGCAGCAGCATACAGAGGGGCTGCAGCAGCAGGAAGACCAGCATGCACTCCTTCGACAGAGCCTGGCTATGCAGCGTGGCCTCCTGCAGACAGTGTACGCTCATCTTCGTGAGGAGCAGCGAATGCTGCAGCAGCAGCAGCAGCAGCAGCAGCAGCAGCAGCAGCAAGAATCTGACAGCCGTGTTGCTCAGCTTAGCGAGTTTGTTCTGATGACGGTCAGAGGATATGCGCGTTTCTTTAGTTTGCACTGCAGCAGAGACCTTAGCAGCAGCACCAGCAGCAGCAGCAGCAGCAGCAGCAGTGGCTTTGACGTGAGGAGCAGCACGAGTGACTTTGTCAGCAGCAACAACCTCTCTGGTTCTTCTCTCTCTCATATACACACCGCAGACCCAGAAGAAGAAGCAGAGGCTGCCAGCTCAATATGCCCTGCGGCGCCGACGGTGCAGCAGCTGCTGGACGCTCTGGCGCTTCGGGACCATGTANCAGCTCAATATGCCCTGCGGCGCCGACGGTGCAGCAGCTGCTGGACGCTCTGGCGCTTCGGGACCATGTACCTGCACACTCGCCCCAGCAGCAGCAGCAGCAGCAGGAGCAGCTGCAGCTGCTGCAGCAGGAGCAGCAACAGGAGGGGCAGCAGCAGCAGGATAACTCGGCAAGCCCGCTGTGCCTCTCCGTCAGTGGGGTCTCTCTCAGCTCGCTGCAGCAGCAAGATATCGCTTTCTTAGAAGCATTCGTCGCCGGCTTACATCGACTTGTGCTGCGCTGCGCTGCTGCTGCTCGCCAAGCCCAGAGAAAGTTGCCATCGCTATCAGGTACAGCAGCAGCAGCAGCAACAGCAACAACAACAGCAACAGCAGCAGCCGCTCCAGCAGATGCAACTGCCCTACTTGAACCCGAACAGGAAACAGCAGCAGCAGCAGCAGCAGCAGCAGCAGCAGCAGCAGCAGCGACAGCGGATCTTGAGGTGCAGCAACTGATGCCGAGCAAGGTACTTTCCCGTTTAAATTTATATTTTTAAATATATATGCTGAACAAATGCAGTTATATGTGGACGAGAGAAAAAAAAAAAAACTGCATTGTCTGTCACACCATGTGTGTACCAGCAGTGCTGCAGTGGATCTGCTGCAGCCTCAGAGGGGCCACAGCAGCAAGAAATGCATGCACCTGCATTCACAAAGTGTGCTGTTGTTATGTATGTGCAGGAGGATGGCGGCTGGCGGTCTCCCGCTGCTAGCCCATCATTGGACCATCATACCAGCAGCAGCAGCAGCAGCAGCAGCAGTAGAAACAGTAGTAGGGAGAACCCACGGAGGCTGTACAGAAGGAACAGCCCCAGCAGCAATACAAACAGGAGCTCATGCCGACTGCAGCAGCAGCAGCAGCAGCAGCACCGGCTGAGTGGCGCTTCTCCCAAAGTGGCTTTCTCTGCTCTCTTCCACACAGATCCAAACAATCCGATGCACCAGAGTCCCGCGCTGCAGCATGGTGACACACGCATTACAGCAGCAGCAGAAGCAGCTGCAGCGGAAGCAGCAGCATCAGATGCACCTGAAGAAACAGAAGCAATCATAGCTGCAGATGAAGCTCTTGAAGCTCTTGCTGCAGTGGAGCAGACCCCGGCAAGCTCAAGGCATGGCGAACCCCAGCAGCAGAGGCACCATCGGGGACGGGACCTGCTGCTGCAGCGAGCCCGGACAGTTGTGGATGCACCAGCGCCTGCTGCTGCTGCAGCTGCTGCCGCTCGTTTCTCACAAAGAGAGACGCCGTCCTTTCCCCCTTTGCCTGGCAGACGGGGCAGTCGCCGCCGCTGCAGCAGCAGCAGCAGCAGCGATAGAGCAAGCGAAGATATGCAACGTTTGCCTGAACGGCGTCGCAGAGCATCTGAAGCTGCTGCAAGAGAGACAGAAGCAGCAGAAGACGAGGCATCAAGACTGAGAAGGTTACGGGTCTCAACAGGCAGCGGTGATAGAGTGTTTCTTGGTGAGGGGGGGCCTGCAACCCCTGCTGCATCTGAGCCTACAGAAGACGGCTCGGACTTCACGCTTTCGGGCCTCTCCAGCGTCACCATCTCGGGCTGTTCTTCAGCAGATGGACGGCAGCAGCCTCACTAGTGAAAGAAATGAAACAGAGAGAAAACACCTCGCCCTGCACTGATGTGTCAGTGATGTTTCAGCACCCGCAGAAAGCTGCAAGGGCCCCCAGGATCCCTGGGGGCCCCAAAGGCCTCTCGTTAGCGCTTCCAGAGCGCGTCCGCACACTTTTTTCATGTGATTGATTATTTGCCCGTACAATGAAATAGTTCAATAGGACAAATGAATATATATATATATATATATATATATATATATATATATATATATATATATATATATATATAT